AGAAACTAAATGTCTAGAAAATAATGATGGCAACATATGTACAAGTATGCTTGATACAGCTGATATATGGATTGTTATATGAGCTGTAAGAGCCCCCAAGAAAATTATCTTTTAATTAAAAAAAAAAAGGTTATCATATATACTTGTGTATAAACCAAGTTTTCCAGCACATTTTAAATGCAGTTTCTGTAGTAAAATTAGGTGCCTTGGCTGATATTCGGGTCGGCTTATACTCGAGTATATATGGATATGATTCTAATGCACATAAAAAACTCAATAAATATTAGCTATAGTTTTTTTTCCAGGTTAAAAAAACATTGAAAAGCTGTGACTTTTAGCATTTCTACTACTCCACTGGATAAAAATTTACCTTTGATGCTTGAAATTCCTGGTAGGGAGAGAGGTCTTAGTTGGGGAGCTTTCTCCATTTGGTCTCCAAGAGATCGTGACAATTTTGGCAGGGCTGATGGTTGTGACGTGAAACTCTGTACTTGTTCTGTAACAAAAAGGCGTTTCAGTATTACGGCACCTGACACCAAATTAAGCTGGCCGGGAAGGTCACTTTTTAGGGAAATTGCATATGTGCTCAACTACTAAAAGCGAAACAGCAAGGAATTAAATCGTAGTGGCTATGTGAAATCAAAGGCTTAGACTGAGAGATGTTTTGTGGCAAATGAAGATCAATCAGTATTACATTAAGGCTTAAAGCAGTAGCCCTACTGGAAGATTTTACAGGGTTTAAGCTGAAAGTGAGAATTACAATAGCTGGGTATGAAAGGACTGTTTAACATCCTAGGAGCATTGCGATAAGCCAGGTGGGGATATGTGCCACCCTTCAAACTGGGGCTAAAGAACGCTTCCAGAGGACTTACATAGCGCCATGTTAGGGAGAACTCCCACTGCAGTGCTATCTCCAGCTCCCAAGACAACTCCAGAGCTGCATTGCTTTTCCCAAAATGAATACTACTCGAAGGCGGTGCTATGGGGTGAGAGGCGTCCAAGCCAACAGAGCCTAGCATCTTGGTCTTCATAAGGCCCAAGTCAGTGGAAGCTGATGCATCTGCCAGTACTGATCGGCTATGTCCCCACCAAAAGCCAAGAGCCCTCCCAACCCAATAATCCCAACGTTATTTTTTAATGATTTTTCCAAAGGACCAACACTTATTTTTAAGTAATTCTTAAGCACTTACAGAAATGAAGACTCCCATAAACAACATTTAGGGCTGGGTTGATATACGCTAGGACAGTAACATTTTTGCCTATAATTGGATGCAGACAGCATGGAGAAGTCTATTTCCAGCTAAACATTACCCATTTTCCCCTTAATAGAGTCGAGTACAAATCATGCACAAAATGGGCTTTCTCTAAATGAAAGCAAAGTGTATCAGCTTCATCTGGGTGCGCTCAGGCAACATTCACACGACTCGATCAGGACGCAGGGACACCTTTCCCCACACCCCGTGCAGGAGGCAAGCTGCCCAAGCCTGCGTGACACATTTAGAAGGCAGGCCCGCTCTCACCTTTACTGGCGGTCTCTGGAGGCTTGTTGCTCTCAGGTTTGTTTGTGAGAGCACTGATCAGCTGCAGTTTTTCTCTTAGCTTGGATACCTGAGAATCGGAACTATCTTCTTTCTGCCCAAAAGAAAGATCACAGGAGATTGAAGGTGGTAGCAAGAACTCATTTGATTCTTTACTCTCTTCCTAGAACAGTGGATCTCAACCTGTGGGTCCCGACCCCTTTGGGGGTCAAATGACTCTTTCACAGGGGTCACCTGATTCATAACAGTAGCAAAATTACAGCTATGAAGTAGCAACGAAAATAAAATTTTAATTAAAAAAAT